CTCTCTCTCTCTCTCTCTCTCTCTCTCTCCCCTTTTCTTTTTAGTCTGATACGCTCGGAAAATTCTTCTAAATATTTGATCGCACGGCCCAGTCTGGATTTTACAGGCCGTACAATAATCCTCGCGGTGTACGCCCTCAGCTAACTCAATTCCCCTCTTTCTCTCCTCGTGCTCTAATAACCCGACGAAAATTAAGCTTATTCTTGTTATCTCCGCTCTCAATCCGCGGACTCCTTCCTACGGACGCGCGCAGGATTAAATTTGTCTAACTCCAGTTGAGAACTCTGCATATTCTTTCTACCTAAGCAAAATAATTGGTGTTGGTCTCATAAATTAAAGAAGAATATAATAAAGTGCTCGCTTTTCGTTTGTAGCGAAATGTATATATTATGATTTTCCCTTACACATATTTGCTGTTTTTATTACTTTTATCTTTAGTTCAATACTAACAAGACTTTTTAATGTTAAATAGAAATAGAAATTTAGAAAATATCAAATCGAAATGTCATATCAAAATATTATCGAAATACTATCGAAGATTTTAAATTATATTATCATCATACCTGATTTTGACATTAGAAAAGATTAATTAAAATTATTCAACTAAAATTATTCAATTGTTTAACACCGAAATAATCTATTGAAATTTTATTTACTGGAATTCGTATGAGGCAATTTGTAAATTATACTATTAATTGTTCCTTTAATTTAAGATTATGTAATAGATATAAGGTTATTTGTTGTGAATAATTTGTTTCAAATTTTTTTTATTCAGACAGACAGATTTAAAGATTTATTCATTAAATCTATTTTTTAAAAGCTATCTATTTTTTAAATGTAAATTTTAGTTATTAAAAAGATTGCCGTGATAAACGATTTATGTATTCTGAAATATGTATGAGCTTTCGTTTTTGATTTCATAATCGAATATCTATTACTGTTACTAAATATTAATGTGTATTTAAAATATTAACGTGTAGCGAAGTCTACTTTCAATATGATTAAGACGACCCAAAAGCATATCCAATATTATATTTCATTTCGATAAATTTCATCGCTATGTATGCGATAGCAAAAATTAAATCTATTAAATGGATAATAGATAAATGTAATATAAATTAATATTCCTAATATTAATAACGTACTAAAATAATCATTATCATTGTCCTTAATAAAATAATATCAATTAATTCGATATAATAACATTTTATGTATATATAATAAAAGTTCTTTAAATATCTACTTTACGTTCTCGTTTTTGCAGTATAATCTCCACACACATTATTCTCAATATTTTGCGAACTTTTGTAACAGTATTCGTTAATTTTTTTATTATTTTTATATCAAAACCGCTCATTATAATATTATAAAAGAAATTTTCTAAAAGATGTAAAAAATAGAAAAATTATCTAATAAGATATATCAATAAGATATATGACTTTAGATATTATACATGCCGAAAATATAAACTCACACGAGCAGATACTCCCCTCTCTCCCATAGCTTTATAGCAGGTTTTAGCTTTCGAGACGACTAACATGCTATAACGCAGTCAACCTCAGTCATCTCGCGCGGAACGTTCGAAGCGGAAGGTAGTCGCAGAAATCGATCACGATCGAAATCGCGTTACCATAGTGTTTGATATTTTTCTATTACTTCGCGACTCTGCACAAATGCATGCTGCAGTGAAAAAATTCATCCAAAACTGTTAGTCATTTCTCGACAATAAAATTTTTTATTGGCTATATTTGAAATGGTGTCCAATAAAATTGTTGAATAATTGTACATTAATAAAGAACTCGATTGAATTCAAGAACATTATTTATATATTTATAATGTATACATTTGAGTTTTAGAACGTTTTTAATTGCACTATAAAAACCTGCAAAGTTACGAGCTTAATCTCATTAAGATTACGTGGTATGGTTAAGCCATGAATATTATTTGTCTGATAATATATAATATTAACAAGTTTGAAACTTGTTAATCTTTCTGCAAACAACATAGAAAGTTATAGAAAAAAATTCCACACTTGTACTCAGAATTTAAGAAGGTATCATCTATGATAGTTAAAACATTGATACAATAATGATTCATTCCGATGACTATATTTATTGTTCTCCTACACGAAATATATCGTCATAGTGGATAAGTATAGATGAACATTGCCGATACAATCCGGAGCGACTTTTCAACTGTACAAATCCGCGGTAGTTGTTTCGTGAACGAAAAAAGTATTACGACTGCGGCAGACTAACACGACCGGTGGGAAAAAAAGAAACAAGCTTTTGCACCAACCGAAAACCGTAAAATGCACCGTAAAGCGCGTTACTGCGGGCCATTTAGAAAGATCGATCGATCCCGTGAACACTTTCAGAATGATCGATGCACCGTCCCAGTATGCCGGTTTCTTTTTCCAAAATAGAAGACTGGAATCGTTGCCTCTGTGCGGAGATAAATCACCGATTTTCTCCAATAGTGTGTATTGAAAAATACGGGAATCATAAATTGTGGTAATTTTGATAATGTACAAAAGTTTCACAGAACAATAAATTACTTACTATCATTGTGTGTATTAAAAAAAATCATTTTTTCTTTATAATTATCAAACAGAGATATCAGCTTATGTCACAGTTTTGTCAAGATTTGACTCGATTCTCCATTAAAAAGCTATGAATACAAAATGCATCAGTTGTTAAATATATTAAATAATATTATTTCTCGATACAAGATGATCAATGATTTTCTTTTTATGAAAAAAGTGAAAGACAAAAGGCCCTCTTAATGATGAAATACGATAGCCGTGTAATATATTTTCATTTTATGTTTTTATTATTTTTTTAAAATCTGATATTACATAAAAGAGATAAAAGTGTTTTAATGAAAACCTACGAATAGTGTACCTTACGAGAGGAAGAAAGAGGAAGAAGCAGAAACGAAACTCGTGAAACAAGACGATGAATCCTATATGTCGTATGATAGTCTACTATTTCCTGACTATTTATTTAAAGGGTCTGCTACAATCTTTGAAGTTATACTCTGGCCATCCTCCGGACCTTGTAAAATGTACTTCTGACTTTGACGTAAGTACCTTTTTTTTTTATTATGTACATGTATATATTTTCAAGGATATCAAAAATTTATTTGCAAATATAATACATTATCTTTCGATTTATAAACTATATTATAATAAATATCAAATTTCTAAATATGATAAACAAGTGCGTTAAGATATTTGAAGAATTTACGTTACATAAAATTTATCTTTATATATTGCTTTTACGTCGTTAAAATTTTAATAGTACAGTTTATTGCTTTCAGAGATTTCAATATTAAAAATTTCATTCAATGTCATTCATTTCATAATATATTTTATATATTGTTAATCAAATGCTTGAAAATAAATTTCTCTTTAAATTGTATATAAAGTAATATCGCGTAATATTGCGAAGAAAAACAACTCTCGCAAACAGAAAGGGTCAAACAAAAGTAGTACGTGATATTAGATATTGGCAAAGATGCGCAACGCTACTTTGTCGCTCGATTATGGACGCTTACGTCCGTGATTATCGTACAGGATATCCTCGACAATTTTCGAGGTCTGGTTTCTCCATAGCTCACCTGTGCTGCCCGATGGGGTCGGTGGATACCCCTTGCGGGCAGCAATGTGCCGCGAACGGATCGCGGTGAGTCAGCAACGATAAATCGAGCGATTTATGAAGCGGCACGGCCAACGACCATTCTCGAGGAATAATGTCGGGATCGATCTATGACGTTGAGGCGGGTCGTCAGAATTTTCAGACGCCCCGCCTCATCAGCCTTGTTAATTGTCTCGGACAAAAGTCGGGACGTCCTTTTATATAGCACGATGATTAAATCAATCTCGATCATTGAATCGTTTAGAGTCGTGAAGATGTTTCGAGAAGAACGTTTTAAACACGCAATCTTGCATATCTTTTCATCTACCGAGCGAAATAATTCACGAAAAGATTTGTAAAAATTTATAGTGAATTTTTTTTATAGAGACATTTAATTTTTCGCTTTTAAATTTAATTTTATTTTGCCTTTTTTAATTTAATTTTATGTCTATCCCATTTATCTTTTTATATTTATTTTTATCATTATATAATTTTATATAGAATAAAAGTTTTAAAATAAATATTTATACGAGATTTATTGATTTAAGATTAATTATTCTTTATTATATGACGTCAATACTTTCCGAATTACTTTTTATAAATTAATCTTTTTAGATGCATTCTCAAAAATAAATTTCAAGTTTATATATATCAAAAATCTTTTATCAAAACTGATCTTATTGTAAGAGATATCCGTACATGATAAAAATATTAATATAAATTATCTGATAAATAAATTATATCGCAGAAAATCACAGATAACTTTCCCAGCAAACGCATTTGCTAAAGTGCTCAGCAAAGCCTGTTTACATTAATTATCTTGTGAATTATCTTGGTATCTCATAATTTCCTTGATAACTTTTATCGGACAGCGTTAATTTAATCGATCACGCAAAAAGCCGTACAGCTAATTAGTGTCACAGTTTTTACACCCATTTTACACCCACTTTTACACCCATTTTATCTAGATATACACCGTAGCCATTAGTGATATTACAAGATCACATCACAGCTCGTTACGATAAATTACTGTATCATTACGCGAGAGAATGTGATTTGTAAATAATACTTTTACGCAAGGAATTATCGAGAATTACAATTTGTTAATTATCCATTTGATATCATGCAATATAATGCTCATATTTATTAATAGCTTCAATTTATACAAAGTACTGAAAAACTATATATGAATTTACAATTAACTTAACATCATATTAAACAATCTAAAGAATCTTTATTTTTTTATAAATAGATATAATTCGATAATATTTTACATCTTGTTAATATCTTATGTTCAATATTTTGACAACTAAATTTTATGTTCAAATAAAATCCATTTAAAATTGAATGAGAACTAAGAATTTATTATCTCTATTTATATATTGATGGAAGTTACTTCGCAGAAGGCCGTTTAATTTCAATCACTTAAAAAGAAAGCCAGTTTTATAAGAACTTTTTTCTCACTTAGGTATTCTTAACATAATGCAAAAGTTTATACGTGTAGTTTTTTCTCAGCACTAATCATAAGTACTTTTTTCTACAAATTGTATTAAAGTCAAGTTAGCTCGTTGAAAAAAATTTCTGTGAACTTATACGTGATCTCTTTAGAAATTATGCAAAGATTTTGTAAGCGCGCATAATATGTTGATCCCACGAGTAATCACAGATCTCTAAAATTACAAATTTTTACTGGATTCTTTTGAAATTTCTAGCATTCTACTTACTCGCTCGAATCTAAATGCCGTGAATTTATTTCGATGATTTAGATTCATTCATTCATTTATTTAGCTTCACACTCTGCGAAATTACATAATTTAAAAAAGAAATATCTTCTATTAGCATGTTTGAATGGAAATCGAATGTGACATAAGACGACATAAGATTTACTCGAGCTGACATTATGCGCATGTGTCACGTTACATGCTCGCGGGCATTCCATCCAGAAGCGGCGAAATAATTTAATCGATCGAATATCACGGATTTCATTAATATTCAAAGCAGCCCATCGTCGCTTAAATTACAGAATCTAAGATTTCAAGGGAAAGTACACATTTTGTAAAAGCAACGCGCTCTCCTTCCTTCCCACGGTTCCTTTCTTTTATCGCATGCAAAATACGATAGTGTTACGCGCTGCATCGTTGGAGACACTTCGTTTTTCGTTTATCGCGTATTGCGTTTATTGCAGTTTCGCAATTCTGTTATCGATAAATTAAAGGCCGGCGAACAGCCGAGCATCTTCTCGAAAATCTACGAAAGTAGCAGTAAAAATATGTCACATTGACTAGGCGTGATATTCGCCGTGGGACTTTTTTCTAAAATAAAACTCGGTCAATCAACAATTAACTTTTTAATAGCACTGTCGTGCTAGCATTAAATTCCGCTATTTTATGCGCTGACCCGCCCGGTTGACACGTATCGAAAACTAATTGGGCTTTTTCGACAGATTAACCGCGCTTCATCAACTATGCGATCAGGAAAATTTATAATGCGCAAATCAAGCGCATGATGAACGTAGCTTCGTTCGATGTCTCTTAATCCTGTCGTATTACGAAAATCATTGGTCATTAATATCGAAAGCCTTCTACATATATTATATGTAGCTATTAATTTTTTTCAAGAGGAAACGTACAAGTAAATATTTCTACTGATGATAGATAATATTTTTATAGTAAGTAAAAAATTATTTATACGAAATAAAACCAGGAAATTTCTGTTCGCGCTATGGCTTTAACATAAATGTTTTTGATGCTACCTACCACTGAGAGCATTTATCTCATTTTTATGTACGCGATCCATTATAAATATATACGCACGCACGCGTGTGTGTATGTGCGTGTACGTTTGAAATTATTCCGCGTTTCAGTTAATCATAAATAAGCACTTGACTATTAATACGCGCGGGCATTTGCGAAAATTTTCAAGTGCTTATTTATTTCTCCACCGCGATTGAATTCGGGAGCGAATCAGACGGACGCGGGTTCTAAATAACGGATCAAACATTCCGGCCTTGTACGGGACCGACATGTGTGGGAAGTACAATTTGTCTGCCCCGACATGCCGGTGGGAAAAAAAATAGTTTCCGATTGAATTTAATGCTCCATGCTGGCTGCGTACTCCAATCAGTCGGAGTATCAAAGAGCGAACGGGGCAACCGATAAACGATCAAGAGCGAAAAGAAAGAGAGGACGAGAACGGACGAAGACGAGAAAAAGCAGATGATTGTAGAGCGGTAAAAAAAAGAAGAAACGAAAAAAAAAAAGATTTCGAGAAGGAGAAAAAAAATGTATAAACATTCGGCGTTAATTAAATTTTCGATTATACGATGGCATCATCGACCGATTAATCGTCGATCGATAGACCTACACTCCTATTCGTTCGACCGATACGTGGCAATGTATCTTTCGCAAAGCAGTTTCCGCCCGCCTGCAACATTCAATCTTTTTTCGACTTTACGTTTTTCCGCTGTCCCGTCTAATCGGCTTACTCGTAATACGAACAAACACCCAACGCTACTTGAATGAAATTTATTGCGTTAAATGAATAAACCCGCGTCCTTATTCGCTGGTAGTTTGTAGTTGTCCGTTTAATTCGCCGGTATCGTTTCTACTTCAATTCATTTATCGCGAATATCCCGCGTCGTATTCGCGTACTTTTCAACTTAAAAACCAAAAAAAAGAGAAAGGTAGAACTGCGGGTAATAATGGCACAAATGGACTTGATTGACATTCGTAACCAAAATGGATAGTATATGAAAGATCTAACGCACCAATTTTTATTACGATACAGACATTTTCTCTATTACGGCGATAAACCCGCGCTCTGCGCCAAGTTGGAGCCGATGGTTTTGTTATAAATAAGCCAGCCTTAACCATGTCCAATTTATACGCGTCCCCCTTAAGGGCTCGATCCGGGGTATATACCATAAATATCCTTCCTATTCCCTCGCTCTCGTCATTTTCCAATCTCTTGCCACTCGTGTTATACAGTAACGCGATAATACCATTTTACATGGTAACGTGAAGGATAACCAAGTCCCACATTTTCGTTGTAATGATGCGCACATAACGAAGTAGAACGATATCATTTCATCAACAATATATAATTATTGTACTATCTACAAATAACAAGAAACGACATTTAAGGCTGTCATATTTTATTGGAGATATTACTTTAATTTTTTTATAAAAATATCAAAAGATAAAAGTCTTGAAATATACATACAGCTGTCGGATTTTCATTATCCAAAATATCTCAAAATTAAAAAAAAAATGAGTCCACAATAAAAAAAATTTAAGTAACCTATATTTGCGAGATACTCATTTCTTGCATTCTTTTTATGATTATCGAAACACGTATAACAAAATATATAGATTACTACATAATTTCAATTATCTACATTACAGGCAAATATCAAATTTTTTTTCTTAGTGAATACATTAACATTG